CATAGAGCTTCCATATGATCCAGCAATTCCACTCCTAGGTATTTACCCAAAGGACACAGAAACATCAATTCCAAAGAGCACCTGCACCCCTATGTTTATAGCAGCACTGTTTACAATAGCTAAGCTTTGGAAACAACCCAAATGCCCAAAAATAGATGACTGGATCAAGAAGATGTGGTACATATACACCATGGAATATTACTCAGCATTCAAAAAAGATAAACACATGCAATTTGCAGCAACATGGATGGAGCTGGAAGGGATCATGCTCAATGAAATAAGCCAGAAAGAAAAAGAAAAATAAAAATACCGGATGGTCTCATTCAGAGCTGGAATCTAGAAAACTTAAATAAGGGACCAGGAAAAAGAATAACTATAAGAAAGAAAATATCAAAATCAACAAACAACTATGAACCAGAGACACTCTATGGAGGGCAGGGGGCGGGGAAATGAGGGCTTGGGGTCAAAATAAGGGGGTTGTAATTGTATGGGGAATATAAAAAATAAAATTTAAATTAAAAAAAGAAAATTAAAAAAAGTAAAGTACTCAATAAATACTTTTAAAACAAGTCTTACTCGGTATTATTAAAGTAATATTTTGTTTGATTTAAAGCATTCACGTAAGTGTCTCCCTGGTGGTGCAAGAGGTTAAGACACAACCTATGAAGCTGTCCAAAGCCACTGCGGCACGAATTCGATTCCCCAGCTGGCCAAGGAGCTATCCACATGGCACAGCTGACCTCTCCTACTCGCCCGCTCTTCCTCTCAGCAACTTACTTCCGTCAATCTGCCTGTTCTGTTTCCCACTGTGTCTCTGGTGAATCCCCTTACCTCCTCACACCTCTGGCATGTACCCCAGCTCTTGTATGCATACATAAATAAATCTTTAAAAAAATAAATAAATAAAGCATTTGCTTAACATTTCCTTAGGTATAGCATGAAAAAATAATTTTAAAATATAATTAATGTTCATGCAAATTCAAAAACATCTAAAAAATATTTAATTAGTTCAGGCATCAAAAAGCTTCAAGCATCTACACTTCCTGCTGACATTTATTAGGCATGCTTATGACAAATAATCAGGAGAGAAGGAAATAACTATCAAATTCATTGTATAGTTACAATATGACAGGGACTTTTCTAAATGTTTTACATAAGTTAATATATTCAATCCTCACAATACCCAAAAGAACAGTTTCTATTATATCCCCATTTTACAGATGAGGAAACTTGCAACAAAAAATTACTCTTTATGGTATGCTGAATTTGGAACCAAAACCAACTGCCCATTTCATTTGTGAATTCTGCTATGAAAAACAGCATATACTGAGTCAGTAAAGACAAGATTCTTAGAGAAAATCAAATAAAACTTCTCAGAGAATTGTGGAATTCTTCTAGACATGTGCTGTCCAATACAAGAAACACCAACTACATCGAGCTATTGAGCACTTAAATGTGACTCACAAATTGAGATGTGCCATAAGTATAAAACATCAGATTTTTGACTAAATATAAAAAACTAAAGTAACCCATTTAAATTTTGTACTGATATGTTAAAATAATATGTAGATACAATTGGTTAAATAAAATGTATTATCAAATAAATTTCACCTGTTTCATTTTACTTTTTTAAATGGAGCTACCAGAAATTTTTCTAAGAACAGGCAGATTACTAAAATATACTGCTAAGAGAAGCAGTGGGCAAGACAAGAAAGGTCTGCTGCATCTAGAAAATTTTAACCACATATGTGACCAGATACCTACTGGACAGCTGGTTTAACTGTGGGGATGAGCGGGTAGATCAGAATTATTATAAAAGTTCTTTTCCCAATCAATATAAGCTTAAGTCCTTCCAAGTGATACATCTATATTCTCTCTCTCTCCCTCCCTGCCCCGTCCATGTATACACACACACACACAGAAATAGAGGACATATTACACTACACTAACACTTGACTATAGTCAATATACAATATTACTTGTGATCAGGCAAATGATTCAGGTCATACCACTACGTTGTGGATGAGGGAAGGAAAGCAAATCTAAAGGAAATAACAGCTTTGAGAAGAAAATTTAATTTAAACTGAAATCATAAAGGTTTCTTTAATCAAAAAAGATCTAACCACTTAGTTCCAGAAATATAATAAATATCAAATCTATATGTTAAGTAAAATTTAAATTTCATGATGGCTTAACTAACAGACAGCTGAAATATCTGGGTTTAGGGTTCTGGTATCCTCTAGAAAATATCCAGTTTATGGATACCTATCACATTGTTTTAATCAATTTTATACATTTAACTGAGTCTTCTAAATGGATACTGGTTCACTATATAGAAGAATATTACTCTATAAAGTTTATATCAGATAATCTGGAAAAGTCACATTTATAGTCATGGCTACTATCAGCTGTCAAGCCAAAGAATATTGAAGAAATCCAAGAATTTTTAATAAATGCTGGTTAATTTATCATCTAAGTGACATATGTAGGATAACAAAAAAATTGAAATAGTGAGCAAAATTCTATATTTTAAGATCCTTTTTTCTGGTTTTATTTTTAAGTGCAACTATGATTTGAGAAGCCATGGTGAGTAAGCAAATTAGTAAGTACCATTGGGAAAAAAAAGAGTTGCTTAGCAAATAAAACATTTGTTAAGATTTCTACCCCAGACTATTTTAAACAATTTTAACATTGTTTAACAAGTAATATGCCATTATTTTGGTATTAAAAGCTAGTTAAACCATCTATTGCAGGGTTTCTCAACACTAACACCATTTACATTTGGAGCTGGGTAATTCTCTGTTGTGGAAGGACTGTCCTATGCATTGTAAGATGTTTAATGTTTAATGTTTACTGTGCTATGCATTGTAAGATGTTTAATCTACCCCACAGATGTCAATAGCAACCTCCCCAAAAATGAGAAAACCTAAACTGTCTGGACACTGTCAAACGTCTTCTGTGGGGCAGAAATGTCCCACAGTTAAGAACCACTGGTCTACTGCTACCCAAAATACCTTCCAATTTAGTGAAAATTACTTTAGTACTTCCCAAATTACCATTCTTAAGTTTTAGGGGCCTTATAAGGGGCCCCCAGGTAATTTCAGCAGGGACATTATTAAACTTGAAACCATGTTCAGAATAGCCTGGGTGTGTTTTTATCTCTCTGTGTGCACTAGAATCTCTTCTGGAGATACGTTTACAGCTTTCATAACCCAAAAATGGCAATTAAAATAGTTAAGATCTAAAATATTCACCGTGCCCGGAAGCTATCTTTTCAAAGGTATAAACACTGAAAATACCATTTTACACACCACAAATAATTTACTTGTGCTATTAGTTATAGATAAAGCTACTTTCATCACACTTAGAAATCTTCATTTAACATTTACTAAGTATCATCTATATGCAGACACTAAGTTATTAGTATTTGGAAGCTAAACTTAAATCCCATCTGCCTCACAAAAAAATTTAACAAATAGCAATATAAAGTCCTTAAGTATATAGCCAATTGACAATTTCTGCTTCTCAAAAATTAACATAAAAAAGAAAGTACACTTGTTTAGACTACTAGTGCCAAAGTTAACTAAAATACGCATAATTTATATTCTTGATAAAAGGCTATAAAATGAATCTTTTAAAAGAAACTTAAAAATAGGGCCTCCCCAGTGGCACAGCCGTTGAGTGCTGGGTTGCAAAGCTGCCCGCAGCCTCTGCTGCACCAGCTTGATCCCCAGCTGCTCCCCGGCCACTGGAGGAGGGTTCCGCAGGGCGTGCAGACCTCTCCTGCCGCCCGCTGCTCCCCTCAGCAGTGTACTTCGGTCCTTCTGCCTGCTCTGCTCCCGGCTCTGGCTCTGGTGAATTCTCTCGCCCTCCCGGGCTTCTGACTGTACCCAGTGCTTGTATAAATAAATAAATAAATCTTTTCTTTAAATAAATAAATAAATAAATAAATAAATAAATAAATAAATAAATAAATAAAATTTAAAAATTAAAAAAGAAACTTAAAAATACTTTTACAAAATATTGTACATTTCTTCCCACCTTTCCTTCGTGTCCTGCCTTAAATAAAATGAAAATGTACTGAATGACATATTATGCATCAGATATAATGATTAAGCCCAAAGAATAACAAGTTAAATTAAAAAAATATAATGAGATCATCAAATGAAGCACTTCCCATCATTCCCAGAACACGATAAAAGCTCTTGGTTCCTTTATTTCTGTCCTTAAGTTCACAGTTTTATTTCCAATAAATGTCATGTCTTAGAATTCTCTTTAAAGCTATCTTTTAGGTATTCCTTAATAAAATACTTTTTGTGACTCAAACCATGTAACTATTAAGTAAATAGCAGGTAAATATGTAAAATGTGAATTATGATTCTATAATCGACGTAAACATTCTCTCTTTTTTAAAGCACAAGCCCCCAGTATCCTATTTTCCAATATATTGTACAGTTTAAAGTTCGTAGGGTGACTAATCTTTTTTGGATTATACAACCTGAAGAGCTGTTGCATTCAATAAATGCTTTGGGGGTAGTTAATGTTAATGTAATCAATAAATATAAAAGGCGTGGTTAAGAAAAGAAAATGTCCACTTCAAAATAACCAATGGAGAAAGGCTAGAATGAGTACAATGAGACAGTGATGCCTAAATGTTTGAAGTGAGTAAATCTTTTCAAATAAGTTAGAAAAGAATTCTGTGTCCATAACAGAACCGATCATTCCAAATAAACATACCATCCTATCTAGCCAGAAGAATACCTACTAAGAAACAGAAACATCTAGGGGTTTATTTAAGGGGTTTATTTATAAAAAGGGTTTATTTTATATACTGACAATAATTAATTGAATATTACACAATAAATTGCATTCCAAAGAGAAGATATCACATGGATACAGTACATCACACAGATAAATTCTAAACATACAATATCACACTGTTTGAGAGGAAAAAAACAATTGTAACTCAAAGTGAAAATAAAATACATTTACACATTTACCTGCACAGCAAGAGAAGCTGCATTGTCAGAAAGCAAAATTTGCTCCCCTGTAGAAATACAATGAAAGGTATGCATCAAAAGTATATTGTCATATTACTAGTTATATTTTTAGCTAAAAAACTTTAAGTATAACCTTTCACTAACATAGTTATGAAAATTCTAGATCAATACTATTGTGGTATTATAATTTTGATTACATTATCATAGTAGGGAAAGATCAATTATTGCATTTTGTCAGTAATAAGCAATTACACTCACTCATTAAAAACATCCATTTTTCAAGTTTTCAAGAAATAACCCTCTTCATTAAAATTAAGTAAAATAGTATCTGTTCAAACCTCTCTAGTTAAAAGCAAAAGCATTCAAAATCATATAAAAACAGCTTGCAGTTAATATTGCACAGTGTGTCTAGGTCTGTCACACAAAAGAAAGATGACAAGTTCGCTGCAATAAAAATTCCATGCTTAGAAGACTGGGGCTGCTGCCTATTAGTCTTCATTACTTTGCAGTCTTCTGACAACTGTAGCAGGCTGCTGAGCCCCAAATGGGGTCCATAATGTGATCTGATGATATATGAAGAGCTGCTAAAGGGAGCCTGAACCATCCTAGCCTATACATTTTAACAGTTCCTTTTTACTGAGAGCCCACTTTACCACAGGACTTCAAAAATCTGCTGTGTCAGCTATTCATACAGTAAATCTGCCAACTGCTCCTGCAACCACATCATTTTATACTGCCTACAGCAGCCAATATAATGAGTCAATAATAAACTAAGGACCTTATGGGCCATGAATAGTTGGTTTACACTAGCAGATAAAAGTTTAGGTAAAATCTCCTAGACAAACTATACAAGGGGATCTCTTCTCTATGTTTTATGTTCTCTTTGCAATAAATTATATTATTCAGGGGATGATTTAATATAAATATATTTTGATATAAAAATCATTTTTAATTGTGAACAAGTACCTACCTTTCAGTTGTTGATATAACGTAGCATTTTCAGGCCAAGGTTCTGCAGCTGTGGAAACAGGGCAGTGATAATTAGGCACACGGGGCAAAAACATCATTAACCGACTAAATTAATAAGCATCAATACTTGCCTAGAGCATTTAAAATTGCCAAGATTGCCTTAAATATGGCAACTAATAACACTGTCTGAAATTATATAGTAACCTGTATAAGAGAATTGTTTTAAAAGCATATGTGGTTCATTGTTTGGTGGTTGTAGTTTTTTATAAGAATGTAGAAGACACGCTGCCCAATCAAAAGTGAGAATTTAAGAAACAAAACAGCCTATATGCTAATTTTCCTTGGTCTCCTTCAAACACATACATAACCAAAGTATTAATAATACATATAGAAAGATACAGAACTTCAACTCAGTACCAAAAAAATAGTGAAACTTTATTTTTTTATTTTATTTATTTATGCATACAAGAGCTGGGATATGGGCCAGAGGTGGGAGGTGGGGGTGGGGCAAAAGGATTCACCAGAGATAGAGTGGGAAGCAGTGGGCAAGATATGAGAAATCTGCTGCTCCATAGTAGGTTAGCTCCCTGGCTAGGGATAAACTTGTGCTGCAGTGGCTGCACAGAGCTTCACAGTGCTGAGACTTAACCCCTTGCGCCACCAGGGAAGCCCCCAAAATAGTGAAACTTTATAATATTTCACATACATTTTTAACAAACTAAATTTTCAAATAGGCAACACTATATAAAAGAATCAAATATATCTGCATTGGGCTGTGCATTTTTCCTTATAAACCGGTAGCATTTAAACATAAAGAGGAATCCTGTTGTACTTTTAGATCATTGCCTTGCCTTGACCCCACCACCTCACAAAAACAATGGGGACTAACCTAAAGCTGGTAAAGCTACTTTTAGGCCTGAAAGCTTGAGCCTGACTTTTGAGGTTTCATCTAGCTACAAAGAGAATATCAACAACCTGTTAGTGCACTAATTTGAATTTTGTCTAATCAACTGCACTTAAGAAACAATGTCTCCACTGACAGGGATATAATTAGTTAAATACTTTGTAAAAGCCATAAAATATCAGAATCAGCAATTCCAATACATTAACTACAATTTCTCTCAGAAAGAAAACAAATTAGATGAAAACTTGATAATTCTTTTTTTTTTTACTCTTTAAACCAGTCTCTATGACATAGCAGCAAAATTTTTTAAAATAATAGCTAATTTAAAAAAGTTATGTATGTGAAGCACTGTAATCCTTAACACTGATCATTAAAGATACACTAAAACAGGCCCCACAGTGAGGGAGAGACCCCTAATTTGCTTTTAATAACCTTTTAGAATGAAAAGAAAAGCACAGCAGTATTACTATAAATTACAAATGCTACCTTTGGACTACAAAACTAAACTCAAACTTACAGGTAATAGCAAGAAATCATCATGGACCATGCATAGCATTGTATGCTGTAACCCACAATTTTATACATAAAGGTTACTGAATTTCAATTCACATATCAAAAAGGCAGTAAAACTAAATATGTATTTGCTACTATAAACTTTTCAACAAAGTAAAATTTCAAAAAGAATCCAATTAACCCATGTAACACAATTTTAAAAAGAAAAGTCAGGGAAACAACAAAAGCTAACAACAGCAAATTAGTCAAAAATAACCTCTCAGGATAAACTGTATCATCAGCACAGCTACACCTTTTTAGCTATATAAGGTTCATTTATTAGAAGATCCTCCATCATCAAAGATTCAACTATATGCATTATATTATTCTTATTAAAGAATAAAATACAGGAATGAAATTCACAGAAATTCCAAAGATACTGAAGCTAAGTTCCTTGAAGGCACAAATGTACCTTATGCATCCATGTAGCCCACACTGTACTGTTTCACATATACTTGGTGTTCATTAGTTGTGTGTAGAAAGAAAAGGGGTATATGATTAAATTCTATTCCCAAAACCTTTTGGCTAATTAAACTTTTACTGAATTAGTATTATCAACTATGTTAAAGTAATGAAGTATTCTAATTAAATATTCTGGTCATTTCAACTTTTGGTAATCTGTTTTGTATACACACTAGATACGTATTACAAATTTTCAAAACAATGAAGTAACATGTACTTAACATTAAATATACGAGGAATACAATTTAAGTGGTTTTGATAACTCAAAAGCTACTTCACTACTCTACCACAGAATTCTCATATAAGCAGCAATTTATGTGTTTGGTAATTCCTGTTAAAAGTTACTTTATGATCACCTTCAAGATGTAATACAAAAGACATACATGAAAGTAGAAGAAATTCTGCAACATATTACTTGACCCCAAATAAGAATATAGAAGTTGCCTACAGATACTCCAAGTTCTATTATTCAGAACTCTAAACTGGAAATAAAGTTAAAGTGGGGATACTTTCCTTGATCCAAGATACAAACATGTTGAACTCAGAATTACTGAAAATAAATTCTCAAGCAGTAACTCCTCAAAAAACACCGATGTTACTTTTGTATATAGAACATATCATTAAAAAAGAGAATGCGGGCCTCCCCGGTGGCGCAGAAGTTGAGCGCTGGGTTGCAAAGCTGCCTGCAGCCTCTGCAGCGCCAGTTCGATCCCTGGCTGCTCCCCGGCCACTGGAGGAGGGTCCCACATGGCGCGCAGACCTATCCTGCCGCCCGCTGCTCCCCTCAGCAGTGTACTTCGCCCTTCTGCCTGCTCTGCTCCCTGCTCTGGCTCTGGTGACTTCTCTCACCCTCCCACGCTTCTGACTGTACCCAGTGCTTGTATACATACATACATACATACATACATACATACATACATAAATAAATAAGCGAGCAAGCAAATAAATAAATAAATAAATAAATCTTTTAAAAGAGAGAGAGAGAGAATGCAAGTAGGCTGATATAAATTTATATAACCCTGCTATTTTAGTAAGTCCAGGAATCACAGAACATTAACATAACATTAAAAAGTACAAAACCTATTTCCTGGTTAAGGTAATATTAATGTCTTTCTATAAGGATACCTATTATGTGCAAGACAAAAATCCAGAAATACTTCTTCCCCACACCTCTTTCCCAAGATCAGGCAAATCAACACCCTCCCCTTGATCCTGACCATGCATAAAAGAGGTGGAGATTAAGAATTTAAAATCATAGTACTGACAATAAACCTTAAAAATATGAGGCATTTAAAAAGAAAACTTTCTCTATAACAAAAACAAAACATTTTCATCTCTTACTAATTTTACTGCAGTCAACCCAAAATGTTGTAGACCACAGACTAATTCAATAGTGAGTAAAATACAATGACTCACCTATCCTATTTTTCAATTTCTACCACCAAAAGCACTCCCTGATATAAAGTATCTTTTTAAACCTATCTAAGGAAGAGCCAGGCTTAGAATAAATTCACAAGGTGAGACTAAAAGTTTCTGAAGAGGTGCTTAGTAGAAAATGGAGGTTACTTTGAGTGAGGACATTGTTCAATGGTTACTTTGAGTGAGGACATTGTTCAATGCCTGTCAAGATGCAAGTTACCAGAGTAAGCATTTGATAAGATTCAGTACCCATGTTTATGATAAAATCTCCAAACAAGATGGGAATAGAAGGAACCTACCTCAATGTAATAAGGTCCACATATCACAAACCTACAACCAATATAATATAATAGTAGAAAACTGCAAGCTTTCCCCTGAAGACCAGGAAAAAGACAAGGATGCCCACTGTCATCACTCTTATTTTATTTAGTATTATAAGTCTTAACTAGAGCAATCAAACAACAACAGCGAAAACAAGAAATACAGGTGGGAAAAGAAATTAAATATCACTATTTGCAGATGGTACTATAGAGAAACCCCGAAGACTCCACAAATTAAATGAATACAGCAAAGTAGCAGGTTAAAAACAATAAATAATAAAAATCAGTTGCATTTTTATATAAAAAGTAAAGGAAAAGAAATTAGGAAGATAATTCCACTCATTATCATATCAAGAAGAACCAAATAACCAGGAATTAACCTAACCAAGAAGGAGAACTTTTACAATGAAAATTACAAAATGTCATTAAAGGATACAGATTATGACAAAAGCATACGGAAAAACATACCATTCTCATGGATGGGATGAATCAATATAGTCAAAATCATGATTCAGCCAAGAGCAATTTATAAATTTAATGCAATCCTTACTAAATACTAAAAACATTCTTCAAAGAAATAGAAAAAAATTAAGATCTATATGGAACCAAAAGAGACCTTGAATAATTAAAGCAATCCTGAGAACAAAGGAGAGAAATTAAGGCATCATGTTATGGCACAGGATCTTTAAATATACTGTAAAGCGACAGTAGTTTGAATAGTACAGTATTGGAATAAAAATAGACACACAGCTCAGTGTAACAGAATCAAAAGCCCAGACATTAATTCACATATACATCAATATTTAACTCATGAAAATGAGCCACAACCATACAACGAGAAAAGGAGAGTCTATTAACTATAGTGCTGGGAAAATTAAATGATCATAAATAAAAGTATAAAGTTGAATCACTAACTCCATACATAAAATTCAAACTGGATTAAAGATTTAAATATAAGACCTACAATAATTAAATATATAGACAAAAACAGTAATGATATGTTCCATGACATCAATGATAAAGATGTTTTGGGAGACTTGATCTCTATGGCAAGGGAAATAAAAGCAAAATTAACAATTGGGATTACCTCAAGTTACAAAGCTTTTATACAGCAAAAGAAAATATAAGTAAATTAAAAAGACAGCCTACTCAATGGGAGACAATATTCACACATTACACAACTGATAAGGGGTTAATAACCAAGATATACAAAAAATTTATTCAATTTTTTAAAACATAATTAATAAATGAGTAGGAGATCTGAACAGATAATTCACCAAAGAGGATATCCATAAGGCCAACAGATACATGGAAAAATGTTCATCACTGCTTTTAATAAAGAAGATGAAAGTTAAAACCACAATGAGAAATCATCTCATACCCATGAGAATG